AAAGCTTATATTAGCTGCTGTAAGTGCTTTTATCACAGCTATTACTGGATACATTTTTGTGTGTTTGTTCAAATGCATTCGCAATAATGGAGAATTTAAAGTGTGTAATTCAATAATTTTGTCGAGAAGTTACTATATTATTTATTTTGTAGTTGAATTGGTTGATACCGAAATGGAACGGTTATCATAAGCAACACTTACCATTAGAATGTAAGTTTTGTTTTTATCTCAAACTATAACTTTTTTCAACTTTAGCTGAAGGTCAAATATCAATAAAACAAGGCATCATTGGTACACATGCATCAATTGAACATGTTTAACAAATCTTTTTTTATTTCTTTGCTACCCATTGTCTAATTAAATATTTTTTGTATATAACGTATTAAATTAATTGAATTGTACATATATATTTAATCTATTTAAAAATAGTTCTTATACTGCTTACAAAGCAAGACAAAAAATTCATTTCTGAAAGAAACAGTTTCATCATATTTGGATGTCAATATATGACAATTGATGAACAACGTATGTTTTGTTCTCGTTATACTTCTGAAATCTGAAACATCGAAAGCAACAAAGAGAGAATCGATATAAGAAAAAATTACGATATGTTCAGGATTATTGTATTTTTCTTATTGATAGAACAGTACCATTTATTATGAACACAATTTAACATGTAATAAAATATCTACCGACATAGTAATTCTAACTGACTCATTGAAGATGTAAAGAATAAAATAATTTAAAATGAAACTAAGTATATCTATAATTTTCATCATAATTAATTTTACGCAATTTTGATATTTATCAATAACGAATAATGTCAAAATTTCCCTTAAGATATTTTTCGCTCTTCGCTAATGAGATTACTATCTATCACATGATTATATCTATCTCTATAATTTAACAACACGTCAACTAAATGATTATCTAAAATATCCTGTGGCAAGCCATTATTGTAATTCATCTATGCAACTCGATATTACATTTTGACATCAGATTATTGCTGATTGACTAATTAATCAAAAATTGCAATTTTCCTGATCATGGAGGATGATATGATTTTGTCAACTTTCATTCATGCATTATGATAAATGAATATTTTTTTTTTTCGTGATCAACAGATATTGATTTAATGCTGAATATATGATGATTATCAAAATTTTCGAAACTGAGATTTTAAATTCCCTTGCTTTTCAGTTGGCTAAAATGAAAATAGAATAGTACTTACTACTCAATTCCATTCTGTAGGACAAATAAAATCTAATGACAGTTCAAATATTGAGAAAAGGTTATTTATAAAAGAAGGTTGTTGCTTTTTTAATCAAATTATCAGCATGAGAAGCTGTATAATTTAATATATGAAAAAGGATTATTTAATGTTTCAGTTCTCTAATCACTTTGAACACAACTAAAATATTTTTCGATAGATAATCAATTGTTACAGGAATGTCATTATTAGTATATGAACTTTTCAAAAGATATATATATTCTTTCTCACTTGAATCTAATACAAAAAATCTACTACGAACATATTTATCCATTCTGAATTTATTGCTTTGATTGAATAGGTTTTATTAAAATAATAAAGAACAACAGTAAAAATAATATCATCTTGATAATCATTAATAGGTAAATGAGCTTTTCTGTTTGTCACATAAATATCTGTACATATATTTATATGTTCCAATTATGAACACTTGTAACAAAAATAATAAACAAATCTTTGTTAAATATTAAAATTTCCCTAAATTTTCCATTAAAATTTTTATCAACATTTTCTCAGGAACTGGATTGAATCTTTTCAAACTAAATAGAGAATACATCAGACAATATCGTTAATGACGAGAGAAATGAGTAGATGACTGCTACGAAGTACATTAAAATTTTATCAAAATTCAAGATTATATTTTTATTTCAAGCTTTCGGTGAACACTATCACCATCGTCAGGAAAAAGATAACAAGAGAAAAAGACAATACAACATAGATATATATATAGTCAGCTGATAGTTGACAAGAAAACAAAGGAAAGAAAGAAATTATATGTTCGCGAATATATAATTTCTTTCTTTCCTTTGTTTTCTTGTCAACT